AAAAAAAAAATTGTTTAAAGGACCACCTCCCTCCCTTTTTCTCCAACTCAGCCCAGGACATAATTTACTTTCACCCATCTTGCCGCCTCAGGGAAGACCCCCAATCAGTTTCTCAGACATATCTAAACCCCCCCTTCAAACCTCTCCCCTGACAAAAGGTCATAAAAGCCTCAGCCTTCCTTTGTCCATTCCAAAAAATTCCTTGACCTTCCCAAATTCTCTCCATGTCCTCAAAGAAAATAAAGCCCCTTTCCCTTTTTCCTTCTGCCTGTTTCTCCGCTGCGCCATTCACCTGAAAAACACCTATCACTGCGGTGGTCCCAGGAAGCGAGGCCTCCATTTGCCAACAAGGGCCCCGCAGCCTGAGCAGAGCTGGTCGGGCACCCACCCCCGCAGGAGACCACCGCGGAGACATAGCTTTGCAGAAGTGACTTCAGACTTCTGAACAACTCAATGAAGTGCAAGTGTCCACATCCACGTACATGTTTCTCTCTCCGAGCTGGAGGCTTCCTGAAATAGTCACCTGTTCTAAGGACACCCCCAATACTTGCGACTGTGTTCTCTGAGATTCTACCCTCTCTGCTTTAAGAAATAACCTTGATCACAACCTACTACGGCGGTTCTGCCACCTGTCAATGAGTCACAACCACAGCCTGAGAAATGCTGCTTTCCAGGTCCCCCGCCAGGGGTGTCCTTATCACCGGCTCAGACGCCTGGTAACATGTGTGTACCTCAGTGACAGTATGGCCTGACAGGCTCCAAGCTCCACAGTGGCCCAGGGCAGTAGCAGGGCCTTCAGGGTCCCTGGGCTACGGGGATGTTCTGTCTGCCGCTGAGGTCCAGGGCAAACGACAGCTGTGGCTTCAGATTTCTGAAGAGAGACTGGCTGGACTTCAGGGACTCTGGCTATTTGGATATCACCAATCAGAGGAGCCTTTCATCAAGATCAACTGGACAGGAAGACACCAAGAGGGAGGCAAGGAAAAGATGGGTGTGACCATGTCACCCTCCTCCTGTCCCTGGGGCCCCTGCTTAGGCAAAAAGGGCGGGGGAAATTGAGGCAGGGCGATGGGTTCACTCCTAGCTGCTGCACTCGGGTCCAGCGCCCCTGCATCTCCCTTGGTTTTTGGCGGAGACACAATGGAGGTAGAGACACTCACCATTACAGAGCGTCCTGGGCCGCAGCCACGAGTGGGCAGACAGACAGAGCGTGTTTTCTTGGTGCGGAGTCTCAGAAGCCAGCCACCGCCGCCCAGCGCGCCTTGGAAGTGCTGCCAGGGGGCTCTGCCAAGGGAGCCACAGCCCACGTGGTCCTGCAGATGGTGCTGAGTGGTTCTGCAGGAAGGGCTGCTGCGCCCCTGTGGCTGGCTTCTGCGGCTTTGTCCTTCGGGGCCGAAGGACAAGCCAGTGATGCCCCCATGTTCTCCACATGCCAGGGGCCAGGCCTGGCCAGGCCATCTTGACAGCCCCACCCTGCCCCATCTGCCCGGGAGCATGGGGTCCACATCCTGAGCATTTGAGCCAGCTCTGAGTTTACCTCAGTGCCAGGCCACCACCCTCCCACCAGAGCCCTGTGCCCCATTGGACAGGTGGAGAGACCAAGGCCAGGCATGGCAGGTAGCCACCTCGGAGTCAGGTGGGGCCTGAGGAGACACAGGAAGCAGGAACCATGCCTAAGTATAGACTGAGCTCGGCGAGGGGCTCAGGCCTAGTGGGGGTGGGAGGGCAGGTACCCTGAGGCTTCACCGGGCTCTGTCCCAGGAAGCACCTGGCTGGCACCCAGGGACCCAGGTTCTATCCAGACTGAGCCCAAGGCTCATGCCTTTTCCAGCTTCACGCCTGCAAAGCGAGCATTTCATCCCCAGCCCCAGGTGTCAGCTCACAGCACTGCGAGGGCAGCCGCAGGACAGACTGCACCTGACCTGCTTGCTCTTCCGGGCTTGGTGTTTCGATTTCCCCGTCGGTAAAATAGGGATTTTTTCACCCAAATTCCCACTGTGCCGGCACCCCCAGCACTCAATAACTACAACAGTCATTGATTTGGGGCTCTTGGCTAGAGGTGGCCTGCGGGCGGGTTCCTCACAGTGGTCTAGGGATCCCTGGGGGAGCTGGGATACGCAGCAGAGACCCCAGGGTGAATCAGCGGCCCTGCTCTGCCACAATTCCTTG